AGCAGCTAATTGGTCGTCTCTGTGAAACAATTATGCCGAAAGTTACGCACCTCCACTCCATACGTTGCATCGGTTCGGTCGATCGTATCGTACGTACGTGATCACCAGCAGGTCAACTCACTCTGCCTGCCTGGGATCACGATCAAGCCAAATAAAAAGGCACAAGCAGCCGAGCCGAGCACTCTCGCCGGCCGGCCGGCCAATGGCCTCCTCCGTACGTAACCTGCATGCATTCCGGCCGTGACATGCGCGACGACCACCGTGCAGTGCCTGCCGCCGCCCGCCGGGCTCTGCCGGCTGAGACGACGGCCCCGTCCAGTGCAGCTAGCGCGGGCGGTAAGGACCTCACCGGTGCCCGCCGGCCCATCAACCGTACCGACCATGCATGTCGTCTAGTACTGTGTGACGATGGAGCCTGTTGAGGGCCCACGGCCGATTATTATTAAAAAAATAAACAAGTATCACTAGTTAATATGTCACTTCTCATCACCTACTAATAGTTTATTAGAAAATGGAAACAGAATTATATATATATTCTCTCTACTCTGAATTTAAGGCCGTGGCATAATTCCACTTATCAGTGGAGCTGTTTTTTCACCTTTAACTTCATGAACAACTCATCATGAAGTTGGAACCGTTTTGATAAACCGTTTGGCAAAACATCTCATGTTGGACAAGCAAAATAAAATGACCATAGTATCTTTCAATTTATATTTTTCTTATTTTCTCCTCTCTATTTCCTTTTTCTTAGGGCCTGTTTGATTTCGGCTGCTAAACTTTAGTCCATTCTAAATGATTTAGTCCCATTTAGTCACTCCAGAGTTGCTAGAGAGGACTAAATCCCCTTTAGTCTTATTTAGTTATAGTATTTGGGTAAAAAGTGACTAAATGGGACTAGATTTAGGAGCTCCTAGTTGAACCAAACACCCCCTTACCTAATCCGGCTTGGCCCTTCTTCTCCCCACGACCACCTTCTTCTCCGCGAAAGAGCGGCGGCGGCGCGCGTGCCCCAGCGGCCACGCCCTGTGCTCAGGCGCACCCCTTCTTCTTTGTGCTGAGGCAAAAGGGGCCCTGTCCTCGTCGGGACCCACAAGGCTAGAGCAAGGTGGAGCTGGTTGAAGATACTATTTTTAGCTCTACCTCTGACTAAACCTTCGTGGGAGCAAATGTGTTGAGGAGCTTCTTGGATATATAGAGTTGTTTTGTTTTACTCCGTTTGGCACAAAAACAAAACTTCAAGAGCTCATGGTGTAGCTATACCAAACGGGACCTAAGTATGACGTTATATGCGGCCAAGTTTTTATTTTTAAGTGACCGTTAGTTTTTTAGGAAATCCTTAATTTTGTGTTTATTAATATTGTACGCACATAATATCATAAGATTTATTATGAAAATCTCTTCCTTCATTTAACATTTTTATTGGGGAAAATTTGGTCTTGCCTCGTGGCATTAGGCCTCTCCATATCAGAATGTCCCAAATAGCCAAGCTTAGAAACATGCGAGGAGAGAAGTATCAAGAGCAAGAGATAGAGTGTATATGGAATCATGTACAATGATTGTCTTATTGCCTGGGGGCTACTTTTATTCGTATCCAAATATGGTACGCTAGCCTTTTAGTTACAGTAATGGAGATACCTTTAGTCCCATGGTTCAGGTACATCTGGGTCATTCTGTATGTACATAAAATAGTCATATTGTCATATATCTAGAATATATGCTAGGAGAGGGCCCTCTCCTTATTTTCTACATTTAGCCCCTCCTACCAAGTTTCAAAGACTAGATCTATAGTGAGCTTAGGGGGGGCTCCATGCTTCCGACGACGTTAGGAAGGGGGGACCAAGCCCCAGTTGCAGCCGATGCTAGATTTGCCCCTTATCCTGACTACAATACAACTTTTATCCCATGCTATATCAACGTACTAAGGGTCATGGCTTTATTCCAGCAATATTCCCTAATTTGCTAGTTCTCAAGCCCAAGCATCGAGGTGGTTCCCTAAGGTGCTTTGAGTATACCTCCTTGGGGGTCGAGACGTTCTTGCAAGGTGGACAAGTCAATCCATCCTTGATTTTTTTGAAAGGGGAGAGCTTAATTATAGAAGGTCAACATGATTACAATCACGGGCTAAAGCCGCCGACACGTAGGTCGGGATGTCACTAGCAAAACATTTGGAAGCTCTCTCCTACCAAACTGACATAGCTCATGAGCTACCTCATTTGCACTCCGGTGACATTTAGAGATTTTGACTTCCCGAAAGTTCTTAAGGATTTCCGTCACTTTTTCTATGGTATGGCAAAATATAGATCGGTTTTTGCACTGGTCCTTTAGATGATGTACCATTGTGAGGCGATCCGATTCCAACCAGAGACACCCTTTCCATGAGGATAGGGTGTGTTTTAGACCAAATCAAGCAGACTAGACAATTTCCGCTTCTTTAGCCGATTTGAGTCGTTGATCGCTTGACCATCTAGAAAACAAAACCTCACACATATGGTCCCTTGAAATGCAACCAAGGCTAGCATGATCGGAGAGGGTCAAAACCGCATCCATTTATTTTTATCCGAATCGGGGAGGAGGCGACCAAGGAACTTTGTCTTTTTGTCATAAAGAGGAGCCAAGTAGGGATTTGTCTGAGGTTCGATTATTGATTTCTTTGCCCTTTCCTAGCGCCGGGCGATTGCTGTTTGGTTTTGTCAAGCTGAGATAATTCTGAAGGAATTCTACCAAAGCAGATATAGGACTTGCCCTTTCCCGAAGATGATATCATTTCTGAGGTGCTAGGTTCTCCAAAATAGGAACATCAAATTAGCCCTTGCCTCTTTGTTGATAGCCCGTCCTTGGTGATAGCCCTTGCTTGGCATAGTCGAGTCACTGGCTAGGAGCTACATGACGAGGAGTTTAAACATGGAGCTTGAGCGGGCATCGTTCAATGTTATATATTTGGGGCAGGTGTTTCATGGAGGCCACCCAGAATCCGCGAACCATAGTCAAAGGTGCAATTGATTGCGGGTTGACACGGAAATGCCTAGGAGTGTAACTTGATGCCCTTGGTATGGGAGGATCCACTTTGTGGAGGCCTATAAAGGATGATGGACATTCAAAAATTCATCCAATTTGCTCATGTATCTGAAATTTTAGCTAAATTGAAAAGAATGGAGTGCGAACATTGTAATTGTGTCTTACACATGTTTGGGTTGGTGAACTTTCAAGAAACAATCTTTCAAGTGTCGTCTCCTGTAGCCTTTCCACAGTCGCTTGAGTATCATCGGTTCTAAACTTGCATCTAAAAACATCATAGAACCTCCACTAATTTCCTTGTCCACATAGTTAGTATGGAAATCATATTGCTTTTAAGTTGGAGTAGTTTTTGAATAAGAAGGAACATTTTCATCTTTGGAAAGAAAAACCTGACGGCAAAAACTACATATATAGGAAGATTCAAGCATAATGGATTTACCATAGTTGTCCATAGAGCAAAGAAAATTTATTTTTTCTCAACCAATGAAGGGCTAAATGATCCGGTTTAGCTTTGTTCTTGCTATACCTTTTCAATAATAATTTGTATGGCCCAATTTACTAACATATAAGGTAGTTACTTGGGGTTTTCACTAATTCTCGCTCTCCTCTTTGCCCCTTCCCTCTTTCATCCCCATTTTGACTCGTGAAATGGTCATGAGCTTCTGACGGGGTGGGTTAGTGGGGCTCCACATATGGTGACTCTACATACATTGGGTCTCCATTGTGTCTCTGTGGTTGTTTCAACGATGGGTCACGATTGGATAGGGTTACACTATGAGACCCATGGCGGGCTACAAGCAGACGAGGAATCTACAATGGCTAGATATAGGGCACTACCCAAAGTCCCTAGTGTCTTGTGGTCTAAGAGGCTTGGCAAGATCTGTAAATTGAATGATGGTGGATTTGGCAGGGTTGTGGTTGGTGGTGACGGATCTATCATGTTAGAGGACTTGACAATGAAGAGGCCAACAAAGCGACGGTGCATGTTGTTTTTAATCGTTCAATTCGAGGCAGGTTGTCGAAGTGCCTCTAGAAATAGCTTTGATTTAACCAGTCTATATTAAACTTTCCTTGATCGTTTTGGTGCTAAGGACGACAATGGTGATGCTTTTGGTGTCGGTATAGATGGTGCTTATAGCTTTATGTGCAGCTCCATAACATATTTTCTCAGGAATTGAGAAGCTTGTTACCAAACCTTGCCATACAACAAATACTCCACTATTAGTATTTATCCCATCCCTTGTTGGAGAGGCTTTACCGTGATACCGGTATTATATTCCCCACTTGAGGGGATTGGTTAAGACACGTAGTGTTAGAATCGTCGACCAACGTTGGTGGCATTTGCGGATGTTGTTTCCCTCCCTAGAGGTATCGCTTTAGAAACCCTCCCTTTCACCCCCTCCCTCTCGTGCCTGTTGTTTTGGTGTGTGGGGTGGCACTGTTGTTGGTGCTATGGCTAGGTTATGTTGGTTGTGTGTCTTTTTGTTGTTGTATTGATGTCACTTCTTTGGAGTGGGTGTTTTTTCTTTAATTTTATTTATTGTTGTAATTCTTTTCTTATCTATTAATATTAAATGCATACTTGGTAATTTTCTTGCTGGTTTGCTTCTCTAAGAAGATAAAATTGTTTTTTTATATAGTGGGTCGGCGCCCATCTTGTGTTTGAATTAAAAAGCTTAGGACGGAATGAATATCGAAATAGTATCGGGGCACCTTTTTAACCATTTATTAAGGTGTGAGCCAAAATTTAGACGCGGGGCAATAAAAACTTATTTCTTCCACGTTATGATGAGATGCGGGCGGTAGCATCGATCTCACTAGCATGCATGTTCTTGGTTCAATCGTTCCGTTGTATATATATATGAGCCTACGTACACAACATATATAATATAATGGTGTGGTCGATATTGCTTGTTAACTTATTTCATGGCATGGATCGCTCGGTGATGATCGTGCCAAATAACGTTAGTTTACTTTGGAACTTATTAGGAGGCGAACGTGGTGACGACACCGGCTCCAGCACCGCCGCCGCCGCCGCCGCTGCGGTGGTGGAACCGGGACACGGCGCAGTCCGTGGAGAAGAGACCGGCGGACAGGTACTTGGGCGCGCCGCCCATGACGGGCATCTTGGCGCCGATGTCCAGCCTGCTGACGTAGCCCGGGCGGTACGTCTGCCCCAGCACGCCGTCGACGTCCTTGGTGAGGTTACGGAACTGGAATCCCAGGTCCAGGTGCACTAGGCTGTCGCCGCCCGTCTTGCCGTACTTGTGGATCCGGTCGTCCCTGTCGGTGATGGGCACGGCGTTGGCGGAGATGGCGAAGACGCCGTCCAGCTCCACCATGACGGTGTTGACGGTGTCCATCCGCGTGACGGAGAGCCCGGGGACGGCCTTCGACGCCCACCGCGCGTTCTTGACGGCGTCCACGTCGACGGGCTCGCCGTCGAAGGTGACCTGGATGTGGTCCTCCTCCTCGTCCCTCCACGGCCCTGCAGGGGCGCCGACGTAGAGGCGGTGGTTGTCGTCGCCGAAGGTGACGCCCAGCGCCTGCACCCAGGTGAAGTCGCGGTTGAGGGCCGGGTTGTGGTTGCCGATGAAGTGCGCGTTGACGTGGAGGTCGGCGTCGGAGACGATGCAGAAGTCCTGGTCCTTCTTGCCGTGGAAGTAGAAGGTGTTTCCGTCGCCGCCGGTGAAGCGCGGGTCGCCGCAGGAGGTGCCCGGGAAGATGTCACACACTGGTCAGTTTGCATATGCATATTCGTTAGCCACGCAAAGAGCAGCTAGGAGAAACAATGACAACATGCAAGGGGCGGGCGATGGCGATGCATGCATGAGCATGATAACGACGAACGAACGTACTGCAGAAGCTGAGGCAGTAGGAGCAGAAGACGAGGCACTTGTTAGGGCATTCCTTTGGGCATCCGACGTAGCACGCCGGACCACCCTCGTCGGAGCAGGCGGCCGCGCTTGTGGCCGAACCGTCCGGGTCTGACGGTGATGAACTTGCCCGCAGGCTTGGCACCGGGCTTCAACCTCGTCCTGGTGGTGGCTATGGGTCCGGGTCTGCCCCTCCCCGCCGCCGACGCCACGCCGCACGACGACAGCGCCAGGAGCGCCACGGCCACCACCACCACCAGGCACTTGACAAGACTAGTAGCCATGGCGCATGCAGGTAGCGCAGTGATGTGCTGTGCTCTCGATCGACCTCTGCTGGCTTTGGCTAGCTGCTGCGGATCGTCGTCGGAGATGGATGCACACACGAGCTGAGGTTCTTATGGCCGGCCGGACACCTGGATCGGAGGCCTCCTCAACCTCAACTGCAGTCGTCTGCACTGCACGTACTTGAGGGCGGGACTTATTGTTCGAGTACGTGATACTCCTACAGTCTCCTACCTCCTAGTATAATTTGACTGCCTTTGAGTTGAGACTTGAGAGCGAGATAGATCGAGAGCGCTAAGCTAGCTTAGCTTATTAGCTAGTGCCTGAATTGGAGGTCAAGCGGCTTACATGGCAAGTCGCGTACGAGGGGACAAAGTGACATACTACTGCAGGGCACACCAAACGTATATACTCTGCTACATGTGTTTGTTCCCATTCATCTCCAGCTGTAAAGAAAATACTGGTAGCGTACAAAAGCTGCTCCATGTCTGGCCTGCCGGAAACATTCAGGCGAAAGTCACGCTCGTCTCGGTGCTCAGGTCAACCGCTAGCTACTAGCTGCGAGTAAGTACTAGTAGCTTATAAAAGCCTAGAGCATCTTCAATAGTTCCCAAATATCCATCAATGAGTTTTTGAAGTGTTTAAAAACAATTTAGGAGTACATTTGTTCAATTTTTTTAAAAAAATAACTACTAAAATATCGTTCCTAAAATATAAAGATAATTTTGTATCAAGAATCCTAGATTATTTTGAAATCATTCTGACTACTTTTATATATTTTTTTCTCTCTTATACATGTGACAAGGAAATGCAGTGTGTGCATGGTGAATTATACCTCATCTGATACTGAAGCTAAGTCTGGGAATAGATATGGTGCATCTGGATCGTGTGCAGGATGAGTGATGAAGAAGTAATGAAGATCAAAGCACCACCTATATGACAAGAACACAGGGAAGACTAAAGGGAAAGAGGTTTGTTTCATTCCTAGACAAAATTGAGAAGAAGAATAGATCGAACACTATGAAGAGTCCAATTGGAGCAACGAAAAGGACTTTAGGAAAGCAAGCCACAGAGGAGGTATCCAAAGCAGCAAAGAAAAACAAGTCGAAGGGTACCTCAACTAAGATAACACCGCACTGGAAGATCTGAAGACAGCTGGACATAACAGATCAAGATGCGCAAATGCTACTACCTGTGCTGCTAGAAATAACTGAAGCTGAAGACCAGTTACCGAGGAAAGACTTGAACAAGCTTTTGTGTTATATATTGGTCTAAGTAGTTGGTAAGGATGAGGTCTAGGAAAATCAAGTTCATTAGATATATATTGTTAACCTATGTGTATGCTACTTTCCAGTGTAACTATGTACGTGTGTGCATCTACGTATGACTGTTCAGATCAAACTGTGCAAGTGTATTTTGGTAAACCAGATTGTAATATTCAAGTTTGTAAACAACATTCTCTGCCTTAATACAAAGACGCGTAAGCCTTTTGCGTGTTCGAGAAGAAAAAATATTCAAGTTTGTTGATTGAGACATCAGTCTAAAGATTGTGTTCTATGAATTTGAAGTGCTATATTAAAATTATGAATGAACGTCCTAAGTGATGGATTCCAAATGTGTACCATATCATCAACGCCTATTTGACCATGAATCTTTTATATTTCACTGCCTTTTGTTCTATGAAGACTGAGAACCATTTTAATAGTACAGAGCAGAAACTGCAGATACTAGGCCAGGCATCTAACCAACTATGGCTTACTTAGTTCTGTACATGAGAAGGGTCTTTAGATTCTTAATAAGAAGGAAACTAGACACTTCAGGATTCAAGCTTAGTACATTTCAAGATTCAAAGGTTAGTAGATTTTCGCAATTATTATTTTGCCATTACTTAGTTGCAACTTAATGATGAAATAGCTAACGTACGCTGCACGTAGAAGGTGCACATGGCCAAATTATAAACACCGCCATTGCAAATACATATTACACAAATGTTCTCACATGCCAGAATATTACATTGTTCATTGAACATAATTAAACAAGAGCTTGGTACAGAGAAAGACTGCAATACATAATGCTAGATCTAGGAAACCTCATTTGAAGGAGATGAGGTTATGTAAATTATATATTGATCTTCATACTTCTTATCGTGTAGAGATGCTAAAAGCAAATCATTTTTTGCCCTTCTTCTTGTCTGTAGAACCATCATCTACTCCTCGCCTCTTTGCTTTCGCTGCTGGCGGTGGTGGAATGAGTCTGGATATTAGAGCCATGACTCCCTTGCCAATAAACAGACCTTCATCTGAGCACCATGACCACGACGGCAGTAAAAAATGACTATGCCTAATGCTCTCTCATCCAAAGCAAAGATAGGAGCAACTACAGCCTATTAGATCCATCAAAGGTCTCTGTATAAGGACATGCTACCAAGAATAAATTATCAGAACCAACAACAAAGTCCGTGGGGCGAGTGCCATACGACTCCGCTGACTCAAGAGTGACAGGTATATGAATCGAAGAAAGAGTGGTCGACGAGGTGGGCAGAAAGACAAGAGCGTGAGACAAGGAAGTGATACGATCTTCTGCCCACTGAACTCTCTTACAGAAGCGATGGTGCGCCGTTCTCAGCAGGCAGAATCGCCCCTCAGTTCCAACAACCGAGGCCAGTAGCTCAATCTTGTCAAAAAAACATACTTTTAGTCTATCCCTTTTGCCCTCAACAAAGGATGACTGAGTTACCACGAAGGTGGCATCACTATCCACCCATGCAACAAATCCAATGCAATAATCATTGCTTCTCGTTTCTCCAACAACCACGATAGACTTGATTAGTCTATCCTCAATCCTAGAACTTCTTCTTGCCATTGATAAATCAGAGTCAAATAATCTACAATAGTAGAAAAAATTATCAGGTTAATGAGAAAATAATGCAGCACGCATGCTGCAGATCAGATCAAAGAAGTTGCTGGTGATCTTGTGTTCCTTGAACCTAAAGAGTTAAACAATGGAGATGGTGAAAAATGGAGAGGCACCTACTGTAGTTGCAGTGTTAGAGCATACAAAGTGCAATCTGAACAATTGTAGATTGGCAACCTTAATAGAAGCAATTTAACTGCCAATAGATTTTTTCAGTGGCTTAATTAATTTAAAAGACAAACTTGATTTCAAAAGCATGCATTCCTATTTTGCTGTTTAATAGATGCAAATATTCACATGTGGGTGCAGTTTATAAGATAACAGTGCATGCACAACTGTATGCAGAAAAACAAATTATGAAGGAACATCAGGGCTCAATAATGACAAAGAGCAGATTTGGATAGCACAGCAAAAATGTAGAACAGGCCCACCAGAAAACATCACAAGTTGTCAGGCATCTCACATGCAAGAGGTTCGGAAAACACCAGATTTTTTATGCATTCTAAAAGAATAGGTACTCTTAAATATTTTTCCTTGTTGAAAAGCATACAATGACGGCTTTTTAGGGTGGATAAGTTACACAGGAAGTTAAAATTAAGAGCTAATATTCATAGCTATTAACATGTGACATTCGAGGGTTGTATTTTGTGGTTCAGTAGCAGTAGGTGGTGAGTTTTTGGGTGCAGCCTGCCACCCTTAGATCTTCAGCCGCTTGTAAAAGTCTGCCAATTTGCCACAGGAAGTGCAGGGACTTGTTTGCGACCTGAACTGTGTAAAACTGTCCTGTTTTGCAATGCAATTGCGTGTGAAATGGTGGATGAGTTATATTTGTCTGTCTGGATAGACAAGCTGCCTTGCTGCTTTGTTTTTTCATACAAAAATTCTGATGTTTCACTTGACCTGCAGTTGCTAAACATTCATCAATGTCCTAACATTACCTGACGAAATAGATGGCCAATTGAACTTACTGCTCTAGTCATCAATCTAATATTTTAGCTTAACTGACACTTGTCACATTGGTTGGACACTCAATTAACTTATTGATCACTACTAAGTACTTTAACCATCTGGTTTTTAATTATAACAACCTTTATTTTTGTTAACTATTTGAAACATATCTCTACAAGTGTTTTACTTCAGGAATAAGACAACGTTTGCACAACCAAAGAGAAAGAAAAAACAACGCAGGCAACAATCGTTCAAGAGGCTAGGGGTGATAGGTTGTTACCACTGAGGAATGCTGGGCACCTCTGATACAAATGACTTGTATGGCGACACTGAAATGAATTTAGAACCCTGCGAAAAAATAATACAAGCCCAGTGAAGAATCGAGTTTACTGAAATAGATGTATTTGGATTAAGCAAGAGCAGGGGCACTCAGTACTCATTCATTCACTTCTGAGGGTGTAACATCCTTACCTTTTTTTTTTAGAAAAGATCCTTGCCTTTTTAATATCTATTTTTACAGTGCAGTATAAAAATTCAGCATGGTAAGAAAATACATTTTTCATACTCCCTCCACAACAACAACAACAACAAAGTCTTTAAGTCCCAAACAAGTTGGGGTAGGCTAGAGTTGAAACCCAGCAGAAACAATCAAGGTTCAGGCACGTGAATAGTTGTTTTCCATGCACTCCTATCTAAGGCTAAGTCTTTGGGTATATTCCATCCTTTCAAGTCTCCTTTTATTGCCTCTAACCAAGTCAACTTCGGTCTTCCTCTGCCTCTCTTCACGTTACTATCCTAGCTTAGGATTTCACTACGCACCGGTGCCTCTGGAGGTCTCCGTTGGACATGTCCAAACCATCTCAACCGGTGTTGGACAAGCTTTTCTTCAATTGGTGCTACCCCTAATCTATCACGTATATCATCGTTCTGAACTCGATCCCTTGTATGACCGTAAATCCAACGCAACATACGCATTTCCGCGACACTTATCTGTTGAACATGTCATCTTTTCGTATGCCAACATTCTGCACCATACAACATAGCAGCTCTAATCGTCATCCTATAAAACTTGTCTTTTACCTTCTGTGGTACCCTTTTGTCACATAGGACACCAGAGTGCGAGGAGCAGAGCTAGGACGGG